GTAGCAGGACGGAGACCTCGCCCCTGCCCCTCACAGTGTCTAGGCCACCTGGCGAAGGGGCAGGAACTACGGCAGCAGCCTGCAAATGAGCAAGTTGTGTCTGAAGGTGCCTGCCACCGTCAAGAAGGGCCTCAGCCCTAAGAACAGTGAGCACTGCATCAATATCCATGCTCTATGCCATATCAGATACTCAGGAAAGTAGGGAACAATTCCGTCACTTCCGCCCAGAAGCATTTGCGTTCCAGCCGCATTTTTTTTTTTTTTTAAAGGGGCCTGGTCGTGCTATTACAGCGCTGACCGGGCCCCTGAAGATATAGGGCTGATTGGGCCACCTGATGGGCCCCGGTGCAGATGCATCTGCGGCAGTTTCGCACGTTCCAAGTGGGGCCCGGGCGGTTGTCACCCCCTGATGGCGGCCCTGCCAGCGCCGGCCTCACGGGAGCCATCACCCTCATATTAGCCATCACCCTTACAATCCAACGGCAGGGTCTCACCTCGGAGACATGCGCCAACAAACCGAGCGACTCCACGCACATCAGAAGTAACAACTCCCGCAACAAAACATGAAACAGAGGTACCCAACCCAATTACCCAATCATGCTTACCGGTCTCCAGCATAACCTCAGGAAAATGTGGGAAGCAGATCTGGCAGTACTCACCACTGAGGTACAAGCCAGTACAGCGCGCACCCAGGCCACCGAGGAAGAAGTGTTTGACCTAAAACAAGGCCTAAAGGTGTTAGATGAAATGTACAACAACTACAAGCAGCACAGACTGAAACCTGCAGACAGGTGAACATATTAGACAACAGGGGTCAGAGGAAGAATATTAAGATGTGGGGATGAGGGAGGGTCCTAGAATCAATACCCCTGGAAGAACTTTTTAGATTCACTTTGAATTGTCACTTGATGGGATCATTCTCTGCAAACTTTGGTCAGTGTTCATGTTATTTAACAATGTCCAGATGTTGCAATTTCAGATGGACAGCTGTATGCTTCAAATTTGGGCTTGGATTTTAAAATTGCAAACTATATGCCTGCTGGTGCACTATGGTTCATATGGTTAAAAATCCTTGGCAGCTGGGGAGGTTAATTAAAAGGTGATATATACATATTGCTGTTGCTACCAACAGGTGGCGCTGTACGGCTCCACAGCCAAATCCACCTACTTGGTAGCAAGCATCAGCAGGACAGAAGAGCACACAAAACATATATCAATAAAACAACAATGCATAATAATGGGTACAGGGTGACTTAGACATAGGCGTAGTCCAGAGTCCTACATAAAGTGTCCGTATAAATCTCAGGTGTTGATGATTACCATCACACTACCTCACCCTAATATAAGTTAGTGTGGGGCAATAAAACCAACTAATACCTGTAAAGTAAAAATTTTTTATATATACTCACTGTAACACTAAACGAGTGGAACACAACTGCAGAACTAATTACTTCGATTATAATTTTATAATTTTATTGAATTGCAGCTTTGGTTACTGTAGCTTTAAATTCTTAAGACAGGTTATTAGTTGCAGAAAGAAAATAAGCCACTGAAGTTTTGTATAAAGTCTACAATTCTAATTAAGGATAGTGCAGAATTTGCATGCAGAATTTAGAGTTGAATTAAATGCAGCAGAAATAACTAAAAAAGTTTATAAGCAGATTTAGTATAGAATTAAGTGCAGCAGGAATAGCTTCCAGAGTTTGTATGCAGAATTAGTATTAATTAAATGCAGCAGAAATAGCTTCCAGAGTTTGTATGCAGATATAGTATTAATTGCAGAGGAAATAATTCCAAGAGTGATTAACAATGGCTAGCTTATAATTGTAACTGAAAAGTACTTAGCTTAATATTAGTAGTTCCAGAGAACTGTTTAAATCAATTTAAGCAGTCTTTTGGGAGAGAGAGTAGAAGTCCATTAAACAGTCCGGTCGAGGAGTGGAGAAAGCGAGTAGTCGTTCACAAAGCGGGTTCGGTACACAGAAAAGCTTAATATGCAATCGGATAGCCGGTCAGAGATACACAGCAACTTGTTCAATAATCCAGCGCTTTGAATCTGGCGCGGTCTTCCTATATAGCGTGGGAAGACCGCGTCAGAAAAGGGGGCGGGGCAAAGCGCCTTCAACCCGGAAGTGGCTTAATTCGGCGAAACCCGGCAGGTCTACCCTGACAGTACCCCCTTCCCATGGGGCACCCACTGGGTGCACTTTACCTTGGTTTGGAGGGGTAGCGTCTGTGGAACGCAGCAACCAATTTATTTGCATGAACAACAGATGAATCTTCAAAAGTGTCTTCATCAACCCCATAACCTTTCCATCTAATAAGGTATTGTAGGGAACCACGGCGAATACGTGAATCCAAAATCTTATGTACTTCATATTCTTCTTCACCCTGGACAATGACAGGTTCAGGGGAGGTCACCACTTCCCTATCAAAAGGGTCGGGGATATGCGGTTTAAGTAAGGAGACATGGAATACTGGATGAAGTTTGAAATTTGGAGGAAGTTTTAGTTTAACAACGTTGTCATTGACTACTGCTATTATTTGAAAAGGACCAAGAAAAAGAGAACTCAATTTTTATCGAGGGGCGGTTGGTGGTTATATTCCTTGAAGAGAGCCAGACAAGATCACCTATTTTGTAATTAGGAGGAATTTTCCTTTTAGTGTCAAAAAACTTTTTCTGGTTACTTAAAGCGAGTTGGAGATTCTCCCGTAATTTGTGGAATAGAGAGGACATAAACTCGTTCTTGGATGAAACAGTAGGATTGGATGAAGCAATGGTTTGGATGGGAAATGAAGATGGATGGAACCCATAGTTCGAGAAGAAGGGGGTCATTTTTGTACTGGTGTGAATAGAATTGTTATAAGAAAATTCAGTCATAGTTAACCATGTGGTCCAGTCATCTTGTAGGTATGAACAATAACATCGTAGATACTGTTCCAAGCATTGGTAGACCCTCTCCGTCTGCCCATTAGTTTGGGGATGATAGGCGGATGAGAGCTTGCGTTGAATTTGAAGGGATGAACACATCTCTTTCCAGAATTTGGAGGTAAACTGTGTCCCTCTATCTGAAATAATTTCTTCAGGAAGTCCATGAAGTTTTACAATATTATCGATAAAAACGTTAGATAATTCTGCTGAGGAGGGTAATTTCCTTAAAGGGATGAAATGGGACATTTTAGTGAGGCGGTCCACAACAACAAGAATGGTGGTGAAATGTTGAGATGGAGGGAGATCCACTAAGAAATCCATAGAGATGGATTGCCAAGGTTTTTCTGGAATGGGTAAGTTAAGTAGTAATCCAAAAGGTTGATGATGTTCAGGTTTGACAGGTAGCGCAAGTCTTGACATAGGATTCAATAGTTTTATCCTGGCGGGGCCACCAATAATATCTTGAAGCTAATTCAAGGGTCTTTTTAATCCCAGGATGTCCAGCTAAGGGAGAATCATGGACCATTTTAAGTAATTTATTCCTAATTATGGGAGGAATGTACATTCTTTCTTTAAAATAGAATATGCCATCCTTTTTTGTTAGCATAGGTGAATTTGGAAGTTCGAGATCTTTCTCATTCAAACTTTTTATGTCATCATATAGAGAAGAAACAAATCCAATTGTTTTGTTAGAAGAATAGTCATCTACAGCAGTTTTTTGAGGGATTTTAGAAAGAGCGTCTGCCTTTTTATTCCTAGTTCCAGGTCTGTATACTAATTGGAAGTTAAATCGGTTAAAAAAAAGATTCCATCTAACTTGTCTAGCTGAAAGGGTCTTATTAGTATAGAGATATTCGAGATTTTTGTGATCTGTATAAACCACTATGGGGTGTTTTGTATCTTCGAGGAGATGACGCCAATTCTCAAAAGCAGCTTTAACACTTAACAATTCTTTTTCACCAATTGGATAATTTTTTTCAGCGGAATTCAAGGATCGTGAAAAAAAAGCAACTGGATGGAGCGGATCCTGAGGTGTTTTGTGTTGAGAAAGCACTGCTCCGATAGCTGTATCTGATGCATCTACTTCAAGAACATTTAAGAATGTTGAATTAGGCAGTTGAAGAATGGGGGCAGTTGTAAACTTTCTTTTTAATTCGTTGAAGGCTGATTGTGCATTTTCATTCCAATTAAAAGAACGCTTACTGCTGTTAAGGAGATTAAGTGGATGAGATATATCTGAATAATTTCTAATAAATTTTCTATAGAAATTTGCAAACCCAAGAAACCGTTGCAACTCTTTTGTACTAGTAGGAACTGGCCAGTTAATGATACACTCAATTTTGGAATTATCCAAATAGCTTCCAGAGTTTGTATGCAGATTTAGTATTAATTGCAGAGGAAATAATTCCAAGAGTGATTAACAATGGCTAGCTTATAATTGTAACTGAAAAGTACTTAGCTTAATATTAGTAGTTCCAGAGAACTGTTTAAATCAATTTAACTAGTCTTTTGGGAGAGAGAGTAGAAGTCCATTAAACAGTCCGGTCGAGGAGTGGAGAAGGCGAGTAGTCGTTCACAAAGTGGGTTCGGTACACAGAAAAGCTTAATATGCAATCGGATAGCCGGTCAGAGATACACAGCAACTTGTTCAATAATCCAGCGCTTTGAATCTGGCGCGGTCTTCCTATATAGCGTGGGAAGACCGCGTCAGAAAAGGGGGCGAGGCAAAGCGCCGCCAACCCGGAAGTGGCTTAATTCGGCGAAACCCGGCAGGTCTACCCTGATACTCACCATCTGTTTTTCTTCTAACTTTTCTTTTCTTCAATCCCAAAGAGGCCAAATAAGATATTAATTTTATTGTATCTAGGTTTTGGATTTTTTTGCGATTCAGGTTTTTTGGTTTGTTTTTTTGATTGCATGATGCTTTTTTAGGACAAAAGAAGAGTTAGAAAAAAGGCATGATGGTGTGTATATATAGTTCAAAGTACTGTTTATATATACATATGAACTTTTTGGTACACTCTCAGGAAGGTTCACTTTTCACTGTTTTTTCACTTGCTCTTTGTCTCTCATCATTTTATAATTCATCCTGCTGGCTGCTGTTTCAAGTAGCTAGTATTTTCTAAATGATTGCTGTTTATCCACAAAAGTAAAGCCTTATATGCTTCTTCACAATCTAGCAGTGTCTCTTTTTCATGCAAAACTAACAGTTGTGGCCAGGCCCAGCTTTGTGCTAGCTGTGCATCCGCACAGGGCCCCATGGCAGCAGGGGGCACCATGCTGCCAACACAGCTGACACATGGCCGGATGTGAAGTGTGTGCACTTGCTATCCAGGTGGAGGTACTTCTTTAGCTTGACTGGGTTTTCACTCCCAATAAACTCAGCCATCCTTCTTAAAGCAAGCACACGGCACTATATTCCTCAAATTTCACTCATCACTAAACGTATATCTTGTTGCTATAATCTTGTTTTGTTGTCATTGTTCAGTTTCAGTCACTATATACATGCTGTAGGTCACTATTTGCACTCTCATGAAGGCTGGATAATTCCTTAGAGTTGATTTCCTTTTTTATTTTTTTTAATTTTTTTATTCACAGACATGCATGACACATTCCAATAAGTATTACAGTATCATGTTGCGGTACTTTGTAAACAATAACATAAATTGTATTTACATCGTTACATCAGGCATTCTTGGCGTTTGGGAGTTAAACTCGGTATCGCACTCTAGATGTCAGCAATGTACTGTGAGTTTTTCAAAGTGGAACAGAGGGGGGTGTAACAGGGGGAGGAGGGCCCTGGGATGTGGAGTCTTTTGTGAGCTGATTACGTCTGTACTGTCTTAGCCTTGTAGTACACAGTGCTTGAGTATGGGATGTTTTTGTCTTGGGCATGTGCATGACATTGTGACGGGTTGGGGCTTTAGTTTAGTTTAGATTAGCCCCCCAAATTTTTTTCAAGTTGAGGTGTCTGTGCTGGTCAATTGACCGTATCACAGGCTCGAGGGTGGCATGGGTGCACAGGTGGTGTCCGTGGGGACCTCATATACCTAGTACCATCCTTTCAATATTATACAGTGACTTTCTGATATGAAGCTCTTATATGGACTTCCCATATTAATTTCTTATATGAGCGCGGCTGTCGACACTTCAGGAGGCTTGAGGACTTGGGTGTATGGTATATGGTGTATGGGGGTATTTATGTAGTAGGAAGGCCTCTGGGGCATTTGGGATGGCAAGCTCCGTCACAGAAGCTACAAGCCGTGTTACCTCATGCCAGTATTTTGATAGTTTTGGGTAACTCCACCAAATGTGGAGCATATCTCCCATTTGTCTTGGCACCTCCAGCATTTATTTGACACTGTGGGGTTAATGCTGTGTAGCCGCATTGGCACTAGGTACCATCGGTATAATAATTTCTTGGATAGTTCAATGTGCGATGAGCATAGGGTTAGTTTTTTGCGGGCGGTAAACAGCCATTCCCATGCTAATTCAGGGTGGTGCAGACGTTGCTCGCGTCTCCATGCTTATACAAAGGGTAATTGTTTGATATTCGTGCCATTATTTAAACTGGCGTACAGTAATGAAATAGTTTTCTTTGCTTGTATTTGTGTTGTTAGGACCAGTTCGAATGTTATCAGCCACAGCTCATTTTTCATTGCCGGTATATAGTATTTGAGCAACCATGCCCTTACTTGGAAGCATGAGAACTCAGCTGTACTTGGTAAGTTATAATCATTTTGCATTTGTGGGAAGGGTATGATTTTGCCTCCCTGGAGTAGTTGTGTGATGCATTTAACATGGTGCCTCTCCCACATTCAGGAATTAAAGTATGGGATCAGTAGTTGTAAGGTGGTAATCGTCATTGCTGGGGAGCATGCCTTTGTCAGACACAGGGTAGCTCTGTGGGATTCCCATATGTGTTTTGTCAAAGCCGTGGTAGGTAGCATCATTATGACTTTAGGTCTGATGGGGGCGGGATCGACATGACCGATAAAAAGTGGTGCCCTGGAGTTATTGCTGACTCCAGCCCCACCCACTGTGGTTGTTGCTCCTGGGTTTGTGCTATGATGATGGGGTTAATGTTAGCTGCATGGTAGTAATGGTGTATATTGGGGAGGCTCATGCCTCCTCTCATGTGGTGTCTGTACATCGTGGAGAGGGCTACCCTTGTTTTTTCGTGTGCCCAGATAAACTGGTTAAGTAATTTTTGGTTTTCTGTGAAGTAGGAGGGTGGTCTCCGGATGGGGTCCTAAATAAGTATTGATATTTGGGGTGTACTACCATTTTCGCCGGGGCCACTCAGCCAGACCAAGAGATAAATTGTTTGTGCCATCCCTGGAGGAGTGTTTTCACTTGATTTTGTAATGTCATATAGTTCGCCTTATAACGCCATGTATGTGATGGAAGCGCACTCATCCCTTCGTCCTGGAATCCTGGGTGCTATGCTGGACAAGTCCCAGTACCAAAGAGGACCAAATGTCAGCCCCTTGACAAAGGCCCTAAGGGGCTGAAACGTTGCTTTTTGTTCTGTGGTTCCAATAAAAATTGCCTTGTTTGGAATTCATTGGAGTGCCTGGATTATTTTCATATTCATAGTACGCCTTATAAAGCTGGGTCACCGAGGGGGTTAGTTTTATTCCTAGAAAGGTAAGGTGGTCAGACTTCCATTTGTATTGAAAGTCTGACTTTAGAGATGTTATATCTGTTCTAAAGAAAGATATTATGGCACTAGAAAAAGTCCAGAGACGTGCTACAAAATTTATAAAAGGAATGGAGCATTTTAGTTATGAAGAAAGGTTAAAAAAATTAAATCTGTTTATTTTGGAAAAACAGCACCTGAGAGGGGATATGATAACATTATACAAATATATTCGGGGCCAGTACAAACATTTATCTGGAAACCTATTCATAAACAGGGCTATACATAGGACACCAGGTCACACATTTAGGCTGGAAGAAAGGAGATTTCATCTAAGGCAAAGAAAAGGTTTTTTTACAGTAAGAGCAATAAGGATATGGAATTCTCTGCCTGAAGAGGTGGTTTTGACAGAGTCATTACAGATGTTTAAACTGCAACTGGATAAATACTTGCAAAAAACATCACATACAGGGATATAATTTCTAATTAGTGGGGTTATAGCTGCTTGATCCAAGGAGACATCTGACTTCTATTTTTGGGTCAAGAAGGAATTTTTTCCTAGTTTCTGGCAAAATTGAAAGCGCTTTAGACTAGGATTTTTTGCCTTCTTTTGGATCAACAGCAAAAACATATGTGAGGCTGAACTTGATGGACGCAAGTCTCTTTTCAGCGATGTAACTATGTAATATATTCACTGGGTAATTTGAGACTCATGTCTTGAGTTTTGGTCACAGTTAGTTTATAATAGGAGCATCTACTGTAGGCTTATAGGGTAGTTGTGAACCCTTGCAGAGAGGTCCTAGGGTTGGATAGTGTGAGTAGGACATCATCGGCAAACAATCTAAGTTTGTATTCCTGCTGTTGTACTCGAATGCCCTGTATGTGTGGATGGTTACGGATGAAGGTGGTAAGGGGTTCTAGCACCAGGATATATAGTAAGGGGGATAGTGGGCATCCCTGTCGCGATCCATTTGAAATGGCAAATGGTGAGGAGAGAAAACAGCTGGTGGTGACTTTGGCGGAGGGGTTGCCATAGAGCAGGGATAGGCAACCTTTGCACTCCAGATGTTGTGGACTACATCTCCCATAATGCTCTTACACACATAATGCTGGCAGAGCATCAGGGGAGGTGTAGTCCAAAACATCTGCAGTGACGAAGATTGCCTATGCCTGCTATAGAGTGTCGTTACTGCTGCCAGGAATTGGGTTGGGAAGTGAAACTTGTTCAGTACCTCGAGGAGGAAGGACCAGTTCAGCCTGTCAAATGCTTTTCCTGCATCTAAGGACAGGAATACACTGCTCCCCCTTCCCCGATGGCAGTGCAAAAGGTCCAGATTGTAGAGTTCTGAGAAGTACATTGCCAATTCATCTGCTATGTGTTGGGGATTGTATATTTTTCTGCCATCAGTTTGTAGGAGGTAAGGGATTTTCGAGGCCTGTTGTTGCTGTAGGAGCATTGATGCTAGCAGTTTCCCTGCTTTGTTGCCCTGGGCGTATTCCCTAGTTTTTAGTTTTTGCATCGTGTATACAGTTTTGCTCAAATTACACTCCTTGATTAGTTTTTGTGTCTGGTTGATGTTGGTCTGCAAAGTGGGTGTTGGGGAGATAAAGTGTTGGATGGTTGCATCTCGGAGTTGCCTCAGTAGTGTTAGAAGTTGGGTTTGGGATGTTCGTTTGATGTGTGAGGCTTGACTAATAAAAATTCCCCTGACTATGCATTTATGGGCTAGCCATTGAGTTAGTGCTGTGATTTCTGGGGTATCATTTGTGGTGAAGTATGCTTGCAGTTCCTTGTCTCCTTTCAGTTTGAATTGCTCGTCAGCGAGCAATGATTCATTGAGCTTCCACAGAGCTCGTCCCGTTCGGGAATGTGTCCGTCAGTGTCAGAGTTATTGGCGCATAGTCCGACCACACAATATCGCCTATTTGGCAATGCAATGTTTTTAGTAGTGTTGGGGCTGAAATCAGTATACGGTCAATTCTGGAGTGGGTCTTATGAACCTGGGAGTTGTGGGAGTAGGTCCATTCTCCTGGGTAGTGCGTTCACCACGGGTCGTATAGGCTAAATTCTGTTAGCAGTTTAACTATGGACACACATTGTGTTTGTAAGGCTTTACTTCTGGGTTGTTGAGGGTTTGCTGAGGTATCTATTTCTTGGTCGAAAATGTGATTAAGATCTCTGCAAAGAATTAGCTGTTCAGTTTGGAAGGGGTCTAGTTTCGTTAACACCTTATGGATGAATATCCTCTGGTTTGTATTAGGGCTGTATAGGTTTGCTATAGTGTACGTGGTGTCATTTATTTTGCATACGAGTATGGTGTATCTGCCTTGGCTATCTTTAATTAGTTTGAGTAGTTCAAATGCCTGTGATTTATGCATGAGGATTGTCCCTCCCCTAGCTTTTGACATGTGAGTCACGTGATATTGGATGGGGTATTCCTTGGTATCAAAGGTAGGGATTTTAGTTTTGACAAAGTGTGTCTCCTGAACACACAGAATGTCAGCCTGAGCTTGTTTTGCGTCTCTGAGTAACATCCTGCGTTTCCCCTCACGTTAGGTGAGTAAATTATCAACTTTGAAGTCTGGTAATGTGGGCTGTTGACTCCTTTGGTGCACTTGTCATGCAGGAGTATCGTTGTGCTCCCTTACTAGTTTTGGGTCTAGCTGGTGATGTGGAGGAGGTCTGCTAGTTCCACATTCAACTTTAGCTTTCACCTTTCCTTGCATCAGTGTGCGGGTCATTGGGATGTACGGGTCTACTCTGGTTTTAGTAAGGTGGCGTTTGATGGAGTAGTGTATGGTACATCAAACATTGAGATCCAGGTTACAGTCCAGAGGGTAATGGGGGGGGGGGCAGGGCTATATTCAAATAAGTCCCCAAGTCGGGTGCAGTGCCAGGTGGGTGCACCACTGGGGCAGGAAACATTTTGTTCCCTGTGGGTGGCTAGTGAGCTATGTTGCACATAACTTTGGGTATACAGAACTAATCGGTGCTATCAATCTACAGGTGGCGGATTGTGCGTATGAGCACTGGTAACTGTAATGGGGAATTGTGGGCTGCTGGACAGCTGAAATAAGAAGGTTTAATTTTTGTCTTTTCTTGCCCATATACAAGAGGTGTGTTAATTGCATATTCTGGGGAAGTACATTGCAAAGTGCTGCTCCTCAACTTATACATATACATACATATGCTATGCGCTCCCATCCCTCTTTTTTTGTGTGGATATTGCGTTTGGAGTGTGAACTTGTACCCTGCCTGGAGATTGAACAGCCTTTGTGCCCTTGGTTGCAGTTTACCCCTGTAATTCAGCAGTGGAACACTTTTTTAGGTATGTCTTGGTTTGGGCTCTGGTATTGTGACTTTGTATTGAATCACCGTTATCATGTAGGGTAATTGAAATTAGCCAACCTTGTTTCCCAGAGGGTTGGCAGCGGTATGTTTTGTCACTTCACCGTGCGCTTGCTGCAGGGGGGTACATCTGGGTGCATTAGGGTGCAAGTTATTGGGGGGTGTGGGGTCACTTCACTAAGGCATAATTCAGAGTAGTATATATACAAATTTATACATTAGCTATGGGTACATGATACACAGTGTTTAGCTATTAGATGGACCGGTAGGTCCATCGTGTATACATAAGAGGTACTTGCGGTACTGGGAGACTCTGTATGTGAGGAACAGTCCAGGGTTTTTAGCGTGTGCTGGGGGTTTTGTACCAGTCCAATTTGATTTTTCTGTGCAGGGCTGCCGTCTGGTCTTCCAGTACATTGTCAAGGCCCCAGGATCTCCAGTACATTGTCAAAGTCCCAGGCATTCAGATTATATCTTCCGGGGAGAGTATAGGTATCTGTAACTGCACCCCCAGGCATAAAAGGGTTAAACTGCCGTTTAGTAGATCTTCCCCTTCCAGAGACACAGGCACAGCTACTGTAGATACCAATCCACCGAACCAGAGAAGCATAAGAATGCTCTCAAACATGCGAATCCCGTAAACAGTCGAATAGGAAAAACCATCCGAAAGGTTTACACTCCTAGCAGTCGAACTGGAACAGCATACAATGAATCCCCCCAAGAACGAGACAAGGCTCCGTGTTGAGGGTCAAGCAGTGATCAGACAGAGCTGTGTGTTTATTGTTCTTATATACACATTCTTACACATTAGTACCACTCACAGGGCTTTGTAAAACAACCAATAAACACGTACAATACACTCAGACACTCCCACACAAAATCCTCCCCTCTGCCTGTGATACAATTACCTTACACAATGGGTTAATGTAATTATTACAGGCAGAGAAATACAGTTTTTCCACATTATTCATAACTTTAAAAGTATGCATCACATGCACATACAAATTGGTCCAGTGGGTCAAAAGTTAGATCGAAGTCCTTTGTGACCAAATGAAGCATGGCTTTTCTGCCCAAAACCTGTTCCACAGAGTCTACTATCCTGGAGATAATTGGGAAGTAATCCAA